AAGGTGCGAGCTGAAATCCAGGCGTTTGTAAAGGGCATTGGCTCCAGCATCAGTCCTGAGAAGCTGTTAGAGAAGGCCTTCACCATTCGACTGTTCAGCCGTAAAGAAATCACCCTGCTCCAGCTCACCAATGAGAAATCCCTGCAGCAGAAAGGGATCACTGTCAAACAGAAACGGTACACTTACACCACTAAACTCAACTGAGTGTTGAGTGAATGAATAATGAACTGTAAAGGGCTTTGGGTATCTTGAAAGGTGCTATATAAATGCAATGATTAATTAATTAAAATTAATTAATTAATTAAACTTTTCATATAGTTTAATCAAATTTTACATAAATCATTTTCATTTTTACAACATGAAACTAAAATTTATGCATAAACAATTCAGACATTATGTAAATTTTAAATCATACATTTTACATTTTTTAAATAATAAAAAGCATTATGAATTAGGCAAATGCAAAAAATTGGATACATAGGATAAAGAGGCACATATGAGGTAATAAAACAGACCAGCAATAGGAATTAATATATGTGTACATTTTAAAAGTAGCTGAGTAAAAGCAGCACATAGATACAATTAAAATAACAGGTAAATTGAGAAACACTGTAGGTATATATTCATTTCACACTTCTGTACAAATTTGGACACCAACATTAGTCTGAATGAAGGACCTTCTGTGACCAATGCAACATTTTAGTATAATCTCTATCTAAAAACTATTTTGTGTTATGTTGTGGCTCATTTTTCTGTTTCTTCTGCTTGTTTGTTAATTTTTTCATCCTCCATCTTCATCTTCTCCTGTGTTTGCAACATTTTTCTCATTGTACAGTTCAAGGTGGGTTTTCTTTTATATTTCCATCACCATATCTTTGTCATCTTTCCATTTTCAAAGCCTTTAGTGTTATATATAATTATACTAATTAGGGGGAACCACTTATTAATACTGTTTGACTGTGCCTGTGTCTTTTGCCAATGCTGAAGACGGAATGTGCAGCTGGCCCTTAACCCTGACACTTTCTCCTCGGAGATTGTCAGTGCCAAGGAAATGCGGGACATCTGGTCGTGGATCCCTGAACGTTTTGCCCTTTGCCAACCGCAGCTTCTCTTCACCACGTCTACTCATGGCTGCAGCCTGACTAGGTACAATCAAAATGGGACTCACTTTAGTAAATTATTATAATTTTTTAAATAAATAAAATTTTGTTACAGGTTCTATTCCCACTGTGAAGGCTACGAACCCACTTTGCTCCTCATTCGGACAACAGATGGTGATGTAAGACACCATAATACTTCTTTAGGGACCTTTGAGTATAAATTTGTGAGATACAGTTATTTTGAATAGAGAAAAGTAAATTATTTGCTGCATATAAAATGGACCATTATAAGACTTACTTTAAGTGCTGTTTGTTTTCTTCAGGTGTGTGGAGCCTTTCTGTCTACAGACTGGGAGGAGCGCAAGAGAGGTGGAAATAAATTAAGTTTCTTTGGAACTGGAGAGTGCTTTGTTTTCAAGGTTGGTTCATACCCAAATAATACTTAATACTTTCAAACTCCAATTACCCTTATTACCATTGTGTAATATTGTCACTTGGCCACCAGAGGGAGCTATACACACTTGCTTAAGTACCGTACTGATGGGTCATTGGCTTTACTGGCCTGCTTCTTTATTAGAAGGCCTTTGTCACAGGTCACTACGCTCACCTTGCAGTGTATTCTTTTGCACAAATGGTCACCATGCAACTGTGTATGCTCATGCAAGTTTGCATAGCACCTGATCCAAACAGAGCAGCTCCACACTGACTGTGGAGCCTCTTATGTGCATTATTTATTGGTGGTGCTGAGCAGCTGTAGCTGAGTGTGCACCACAGAAATGCCCTCCTCCTTCACAGTGACACAGACGGAAACTCCTGTAAGCTGAGCTACAATCGACAGTAGACCTGATGAGAGGTCAACCAGAAAACCCCTAATAACATAGAAACATATATGTGTACATATTTGTATAAGCATGCTTCTGTGGTATCATCAAAAAACAATTTAGTTTGCCCATTTATTTGTCAAAGTTTGCACTTACACTACCTACTACTACTACTACTAATTACTTAAACTATAGCTTTGACTCTGTTTGTCTCATTAGCTAAAGCCAGAGATGGAGCGCTACGAGTGGGTGGTGATCCGCCATCCTGAATTAGCTTCTTCTTTAAAGACTCAAGCTGAGGATGATTCCGCTGCGACTGAGGGCCAAGACAGCAATAACCTGCAGCAGCCAGAGAAGCCTGTAGGGGAACTGTCACCTTTTCTGTCTGCCCGCCACTTCAACCTCACCTCCAAAAACACTTCCATGTTCATGGCTGGAAACTTTGATTCTATCATAATAGGTGAGTAGCCAGTGTTACCTTTTAATACTGTATCATAAGAAGCTAATTCTTTATTCTTTTGTGTCTGACCAGGTGGAGGTGAGGGTAATGCACTGTACATAGACTCTGAGCTTAACCATGGGCGCTCTGCAACTTGTGCCACATTTGACAACCCTCCTCTGTGTGCAGAGACCTTCCAGGTGTCACTGCTGGAGGTCTGGGGCTTCCAGGACACCATGGCCTCCTAAAGCAGTAGGCAGACTTACAAACACTAGTAATATGCAGTCCAAGATGAAACTCTTTTTGAAAAAGGAAGGAATCCAAGGCAGCCAAGGTGTCATGCTGGTTTGCTGTGACCTATTCCCTTCACTGGGTCATCCTGCAGAATTGTCTCACAAAGATGTTTTGAGGTTATATATGTTAATCCATGGGTTTCAGCGTAATGAAAATTAAGACAAATTGTATCTTTTGAAAGTATTAAAATCCTCAAAAGTCATGAAGTACCTGAACTCATGAATGAAACAATCTCAGATGGAGTCTTGCCAAATAAAAAAAAACAAACTTTCTGTCCTGGACCCGGCCATAAATAAGTGTTGTGCATTGTATGTCAGGTGTAGCTATTTGTGTATATTATAATATAATGAAATAATATAATGAAGAGGAATACTGTAGTGAAATGTCCTGTGTTGGTCATGTTGAATGGTCTGTTGGTGAATGAATATTTGCTGTAGTTATTTTTTTCAAAAGAACTTTAAAACATCACCTCATATGTGAATAATAGATAAAAATGTTCCTTGCCATTGTGACATTAATCTCTCCAGTTTCAGGCCCTGTTACCTTTTTTGTGTAAAAGCAGTATCATACACATGCTTATATGTAACTTGTTGGTTTTGTCACTTTAAAATACTACTATATGTATTGAATATCATGTGAAAATACAAGAACGTACTTTTAAGTAAAAAGAAGTACTCTAGTATTTCTTTTCTATTGCCTATAACTATTTCTGTTTGTTGCTCCAATGAGGTTTAACGTCTTCAGACTCCTCACAAATGTGCCAGATGCCTTTAAAAGTCAGCTGACCACATCTTATGCCCTGTTATCCTGGCATCTGATTGGACTGGGTCACTTGCAAAAATGTTCTGTCTCTGTACATGTATTCTCAATTTAGAACAAAATTACTCATGCGTATCATCTGCCCGTGTTTGTGGAAGTTTAAGGTTGTCAACATGACTGGAAATATTTAGCTGACATGAGTCAGAGATAATCCTAATCTAAAGGAGTTAATGGAAGTTAAAAAACCTAAGTCAGTTTTAATATGATAGTTTACAATGGCTCAGTCCTTTAAAGTTGTCACAAATATACTCTTTGTGTCCCAAACAAAGATTATGTATATCATGTTACATCATGATGTTTAAAACAACAATGTCTACAAACTGCCAAATTATTACATTCAAGTAAGCAGATTTGGTACATAGTACAGTGCTACATAATAAAAGTAATTAAAGAAAAAGGACCAGCTTAAGTAGAAAATGATAAAATAAAATAACATCACCAAATTGTATTGACATTTTAATTGCAGCCAAATGCATGCTATAAAATTGATGTGTTTGACACCACAGAGTGTAATTACTCTTCTACTATAAGATGCATTGAGCGGGTCTTGCCAACTTAAGATGTCCCTCTTCATTGAGGATTCACACTTAGCTAATCACACATGCTAGTCTATATTTAGCTGCTCCTTTGGGTGTAGGTCTGGCGCTTCTTCTGAAAACCATGCTTTCTAGCCTGAAGGAGTAAGGAGCTTAAATGTTTACGACTGCACTGAGAGGGGTGTTTTCCTGGACAGCCCCCCTGGATCATAAGGTTCTGTGCACAGTGGATTAACTGCCTTAGCAAATCAAAACTATGTCAGTCATTGTTTTGCATCATACTGAGACAAGGTGACCTAATATGATATCATGCAAATGTAACCATAACCAAACTGACTTTGATATGTAATAAATCTTATGTAACATTTTTAAGTAGACCTAATGAACTGGCATATAGTCCAAATAATACATTTTATGTTTCCCCCTGTAAATTACATTGTGGAATTGTTAACAATTCTGCAGAAAGATCCTGAAGTTAGAACAAGCAGTAGCTAACTGTAATATTTGCACATATCATATAACTTATAATAGGTTGTGTACACAGTGTTGATGAAAATGATAGGCTATTAATAGTAGCTAAAATATTCACCTTTAAATTCATATGGGATAGTTTACATCCTCCCACATTCATTTCACAGGGATTCACACAGTTCGTGTGAATCCCTGTCCTTTTTATAACTGAGCAGTGCATGGCCTGTGGTAGTGCATTTTATAGTAAGAGTAGTGAATGGGGCTCTCCTGGGGTGGGGGAGGGGTTTACAGTGTGGCCAGACCAGTGCAGAGAAGCAGAGGATGGATGAAGACAGAGGAAGAGCAGCAGGCATGGGACTGCATGTCTTCTGTGTGTGTGAGTCACTCATGTCATCTCTCCTGTGATTCCCCAGCCTCACCCTCCTCTCTGCATCAGGCACATGCACACTTAGCCATAGGGTGGAGTGGGGGTCTCCTCCCCCACCACACTCATCCTCAAACTCTCCCTCAGTCACACGCACCACGCTGCTGCATGTCACAGCTGGCTGTTATAACCATCTTTTTCGCCATTGTAAGGTTGTGGTGCTAAATGTGGATATAAATGTGGACATGCGCCTTAAGAACAGAAAATACCCGTTTGATTATAAAGAAATGGGAAATTAAGTTTGATTATGTAGCCCAGTGTACATCCAAAGACTTAAGCCACAGCTCTTTGCCCATCACAAATATAGTTTTAAAAGTAGGCTACAGTACAGGTTCCACCCTCGTATTTAACCCCATCTTCGCACCCCAGTTGTGATTTTGAAGGTTGAGGCCGTAGGTGAAGGGAAACCCTGCAGAGGACCACACCATTGATGCATCATAGGGGTGACCTTCAAACATTAAAATGTCGCCATTTTATCCCCAGATAAATATTTTATTTACCTTTATAATGCGCCTGGAATTATATTAAAACGACGAGATGATAAGAGTATGGTAAAACAAAGTATCCTTCGCGCACCAGTACCAGCTGATGGGAGGTCCCATCCGTGCGGCCAGTCAGGTGATATTTTCCGCTTCGCCATTTTGTGTTGCTGCGCCGGGTATTTATCTGTAGAGTCGTGACTATCCCGTTTACATTGGTAGTTAGGTGGTCACACGATCCACGCATTCTCGGCCTTTATCTGCTCTGTGGCCTTTGATTGCATAAGGACTTCATTGCTTCTAATTTTATATTAAGTTTATTTTTATATTCTATAAGCCAGGATGTCGGCTGAAAGCCCCGAATACTCTCCGTTCTTCGCAGTGATGGGTGCCTCTGCGGCGATGGTTTTCAGCGGTAATTATACAATTTTATAATTTCATTTTTGATGAATACAATTGTCATTATTAATCGTAATTGAGATCATGCGCTGCCAGCCCGTGTGTATCCCCATCCTTCTCCCCAGGCGGCTTGTGCTCAGCCATGATCCGTATCTTACGGCTTACGTGCACAGCCATCCACTAGCTTTTTGCTAAGACTGTGCTAATCTTTAGCTGTCATTTATCAAGCCTTTGGGACAGTAAAACAGCCAGAGAGCTGGATTTGATCTCATTCACACGACATCGCACTTTACTTGGTAGATTTTAGCATTGGTTTCTCTTTCAAGACCGCGCGTGCTATGCTACAAGGCTAACCATCTGATGACGACTACATTTACACTCGCTCCTGACTGAAGCTTTGACGGCTTTTGTAACGAGGCGCGCGGAACACCTGAAATGAATCAAATTAAAATAATAAAACACGTACATTTTTCTTTTCCTTTCAGATTACACTGATCGTTAGACGTTTTGCATTCAGCTGTTTACTAAGATTGCAAACGTGCTAGAGGAAATGCTATCATTTTAACATCAGACGAGTGTCTGCTTGTTTTAAGTGCTGGCATAGAATAGGCCTGTGACCTAACTTTTGTCTTGCTGGCAACCTTTTTGCCTTTAATATCAGTAAATACTAAAATATAAATGCAGTCCAGTCCCTCTGTGGAGTGAAGACATAATTTCTATAGTAATCAATTAATGTCTGCATTTCCAGATTCTATTATCCCTCAAAAAATCTAATGGTTGATTCATGCCTAAGATGGTTAACTTCCTTATTGCTCAAAGGACTGATACAAAGTCACATGATGATCACATGATGAGACTTCTGACTTGGAAAGGCCCAGTGTTTGAACGTAAAGCTACTGGCATCAATCAGTAACGATCCAAGCCGAAAGAGCTTTTTATAATTAAGTTCAGTATGTTCAGTAACATACATTTATGCACACTCAGTCAAATGCCTATTAAGATGTAATTGTTATGGCAAACTATTAAAATATATTTTTCATAGGTGATGTTTTGATGAGGTATTAGATCAGCTTTATGTGTATAATAGTACTGGTCTGCTTGAGTACCATATATGAGTGGAGGTCATCCATTATGTACAGATATTTGCAGATCACATGAGTTATACCTGTAGTTGTAAAATGAAAGCGACAGAAATCTCCAAAAGGTTATGTGTAATTACGCGACAGTAAATTACTCTGCTGTTGTGGTGTCAGGTGATGCTGGCCGGTGTCGGGGGTTGTCTAGTGATGTGACTACTGGCTTCATTGATCCTGACTACACAGAACAGATGACACTGGCCTGCTATTATTCATGATGAGTAGGTGCATGTCTACTGTGGTCCACCAACCCCTGCTTCTTTCAACAATAATATCAAATATGTTCAAAAAATCAATTGGTAAGAAGTGTGTGACTGGTTGAGACATTTATTACACTTGTTAATTTCTTAGAAAGATCCCAGTTGTAAAATAGTGATGAGTTTCACAAAAGGAGAAACATTTTGCAAACGTGACCAGCTATCTATTCTACACACGGTCGCTTCCTCATTTTGCTTTGCTTTGGCCTAGTCCATCTTTGCGTGGGCTGTTCACGGAAAGTGTGTCTAGCCAGAGGCACAGGACGTCACAAGGGCGCTCCACACATCACATATCACGCTGCAAGATGTAAAGCACCTAAAATGACAGGATTTGGATTAAAGCCAGAGGTTTACTTCTCCGCTGCTGCATCATCAAACCTCCGGTAATGGTGACTGACGAATGTTTAATAGAAATTAACTGAGGCCGGAAAAAGAACCTTGTGTCTATACCAGGTTTGCTTATTACCGTACAGTGCTCTTTTTAGATGAGCCTGAGCGATTTAAACCTAATGTTGATGGGATCAGTCACAGTGTGAATCGATATGGAGCGACTGGCAATGTGGCTAGCTGCCATGTGTACATTAGAGATTGACTGGCTTGTTTTAATATTCTTAACGTACAGGTCCTGTTTAGTAGAATAAACAAAGAAGTAGGCAAACTCCAAAGGACAACACAAGGTAGTGTCCTTGAGATATCGACTCTTTAGTGATTAGTGATTTAGTGAGTATTGATATTTATTTTTTAGTAGAAAGTCTTTGCTGTGCTAAAATTAGCCCAGCGTGCTCCTGCAGTAGGACGATGCTATGACGTAGAGTGCTCTGCTCTTCATCACAGGCTGTCCCGATGAATGCTGATGATGCACTTTACTCCTCCCTTTTTATTTTACTGATGCCAAGCTCCAGCCAGTGTGGTCTCAGTGGCTGCAGCTGGTACTCGTGGATGGGCCACTCGTTTTATTTTGCAGGGGTCCTTCACTTTTTTTTTTATGAATTCTGTTTCATCTTTACTAATACAGAAAACCTCATATCCTTACATATGGTGCTTGAGCAATGTCTGCACTAACACAACTCATTGTATTTCCCTAGATTGAGCCATAATGGATGTTTATGGGGAAGTATAATTAACATTTGTTTCTTTTGTGCCTTTTATCACTTCCTCTTTTGTTTTTTGCAATTACCTGATTCTGGGTGAATTCCACTTTATCAACTTGATCAGTCAATAAGCAACACCTTATTATATCTAACTTTAATTACATAATTTAAGTCATAATTCAATTTTGCATAAAATGTAAAGCCAGGTTCCAGTGATATAATGTTTCTGTATTTTTAAACAATGGTCTCCTCTCTCACCAGCCTTGGGAGCAGCCTATGGAACAGCCAAAAGCGGTACAGGCATCGCAGCCATGTCGGTCATGAGGCCAGAGCTCATCATGAAGTCCATCATCCCTGTGGTCATGGCAGGTATCATAGCCATCTACGGCCTGGTAGTAGCGGTGCTGATTGCCAACAACATTTCAGAGAGGGTCAGCCTCTACAAGTGAGTGTCCACTTCATGTTTCATACATTGTATTGATCTACACAGCCTTATGTAAACAGTAGTCAAATATCACGGAGTTCACCACTTTGTTGCATTTAATTGCCATTATATCCAATAAATAAATCTGTGACCCTAAGTAGACCTATTGGTGTTTACAGACTTGTTTCTGTAAAATACAAGTGATTTGAGCAAAACTAGGCAAATATTTTGTTTCCACATAGTGAACAAAACTGTTAAATAAACGCATTGTTCCACAGCTGCATCAATTGTGCTTAGTATAGCTGCACCATTATGACTCTCAAACAGCATATCAGGGCTGCATCAGGATAGATCATGTCCTTAATCAGACTGATTTAATATGTGCTCAATTCAAATGCTTTTCAGCTCCCCAGAAAGCAAGAGACAAAAATGTTTTGGTGCTTATCGCTCCTGTCACATTGCTAGTTGTACACTGTCTTTTTAACTGAGCGTAGATAACAAATGAATGCTCTAATGGGTGTGTATGTTTGTGTGCAGGAGTTTCCTTCACCTGGGAGCTGGACTGAGTGTAGGCCTGAGTGGGCTGGCAGCAGGGTTTGCTATCGGCATTGTGGGCGACGCTGGAGTAAGAGGCACAGCTCAACAGCCAAGGCTATTTGTGGGCATGATCCTTATCCTTATTTTTGCTGAGGTCTTGGGGCTCTATGGTTTAATTGTTGCCCTAATTCTCTCTACGAAGTAAACTCCCAAACATCTCCATTACAAAATCTGTCCTTTATGTTGCTGCTGGAGAAAGTGTAAAACAGGGGAAAAAATGTAAATTTCTGCCACACAAGATGAAACAAGTAAAGGCAAGGGGGGAACTTATTAAAATGGATCTATGAATATGGTCTTATATCAACAATGTGTACAGTTGTCCCAGTTTGATAGTCAACTTGTAAATGCGCAATGTAGTGATTTGTCTGTCTTGTGTGCGTGTGTGTTTCAAAAAGTCGTATGATTTGTTCTCCCTCCACTTATTTCAGGCCTGGAGGCCAGCTGAAGCAGCTTGGCCTCTGGTCTATGAAAGCTGACCAAAGGGCCACAAAGCTTTTATTTCTCTCATATCATTGTGGGAGTTGACACAGTTTCTGCATTTAATCTTAAGGATCTGTTTGTAAAGAGATATGTGTATGGACTTATGGATTTTTTTTCCACTGATTTTATTTATAATAAATTGTTAATTGAATTTTAATCCAAGGATATAATATACATATATACAGACATATAAATATCTATATAGATAGATTTATGCACTGTGGGTAAATTGTGATAAGTGGTTGGATTCCTCTGGATGTAACTTAATAATTAAGATTGCCTTTAGTATGTTTCTGGTGGAGTGGGAGTTGTGTGTAGCTATATTCTAATCATGATGCGACATTCTCAAACCTCAGTGTTTTCCTGTAGTACTGCTGTTTGCATTAAAGGTGTGTGCCCAGTGGTGGGTGTCACAGGTGTAATTTCCAAAATTCATCTCCTTTTCATCCTCCACCTTCACCTCATTTGTGGCTGTAACTCATCTCTTCACATTCCAGCCATTCAAATCCTGCATGGAGTTCAGTGTTCTGTTGCTTTTGTATGACGCTCACAAGCAGGCCATTTTTCTGACATTATTCCAGATCAAAAGTCTATGCGTTGATTGGCTGGATGTGGCTGATGCATCCGGTAGCAAATAGAAATCATAAGATGTCTTTTGGACTGGCCTTGTTTATCAAAGGAACTGTTCTGATTTGATCTGGAATATGTTTTCTTAAAATAGCACTGCTTCTGGCGCCTTTACTGAAACCCCAATCTACAATCCTGTATTAACACTGGTATTAAAACTTATCCTGATGTGTCAACATGAATGTTTTCACAATCAAATTAAAGGAGATTCCAACATAGATTTGGTTTGGCTTTCACACATAAAATTGCCTTGAGTAATCCTTTGACTCTAATCTATAGTACAATTGTTTTCTCAATATGGGGTAAAAAAAATTGGACTTTGCAAAAACAGGGTAATGCCATGCACTTGATGTTTAATAGTTAAATTAGTAAAAATATTTGATAACATACATTTGGAAATAAAACAAAAATACAGTGTCAATTTTCAAGGCTTTGGAGGAGAGTTGCACATATACTGCTTATTGCGCTGAATGTGGTGCTTTCTGGGAATGACTGCATGAAGTCCTTGCCCTCCTCTGTGCTGGTGCTCAGTTGTGGATCCAAGGGCACGGACCCTAAAAGAGAATCCCATTTGATCAAAAAAATAGTACTGATTGGCACAGGGCCTTTGGTTTTGATTACAACTGAACTATGAGCACATTAATTGGGTTATGTAGTGTAAGTATAGTAGCCCATGTTAAGATCACTACTACAGCGCTGACTGCACCTACCATTTTAGCAGTGATGGAGTACAAGGCCTCAGATTCATGAATGAAAGGCAATACGCATAGATGGGATAACATGACACCTTGTGGTCAAAGGCTTACATTACAAGAACTACGTTACCTAGAAAGACTGATCCAGTGAGTTTGGCCAACTCTTCACCGCCACCCTTTGAGAAAATGTTGCTGCATTCCTGTGAAGTGAGTGTTCAATACAGTACACATGAAAACAAACAAACAAAAAAACAATGCTAGACGTTATGTAGTCTAAATATACTCACTGAACAATGTGGGCAAACAAATCCACTCATGTTTTCTACAATGCCCAATATACGAACTCCTGTCTTCTTGCAAAAGGTGATTTCCCTCCTCACATCCCCTGTAGACACAGCCTTGAGGTGATAAAAAATAAAAATAATTCAAATTAGAAATCCTGAAATTAATCTTAATATAATCGTAAGTCAGAATGGAATTTCTTCATTAGGGTTTTTTTTTTTTGAAAGAGCATTTAAAATCATAGTTGAAAAATAAATCATATCTGAACAGCAACAATAAATCAAGCCACACATTTAAAACAAAAAAAACTAGGTGATAATGACAACAATGAAGCACAACTGTTACCTGTGGAGTGGTGACCAGAACAGCCCCATCCACTCTGTGCTTCTTCAGGTTCTCCAGAACAGCCAAATGCTCGTCCGATGTCCCCGGAGGAGTGTCCACCAGCAGGACATCTAGCTCTCCCCAGGACACATCTGACACAAACTGACCTATCAAAGCTGTAGATGACATTATTAACTTGTAAGATATTTTTTAGTAACATTTTTTATCAGATTTTATTTGAGTGAAATTTAATGTCTATTTACCAGCCAGAGCTAAAATATACAAATCAAATACTACTGAACAAAGACTAAAGCTGTGCAGAACTAAAAGACTAAATAGAACATGAAGTTGTGATTTACAATACATACAACATAAATGTTTTAACAATGTATCTGATATAACTGTACTCAAAATGTGACAAGTTCAGATAGGGGGCAGGAGCCACAATGGCATTTTCATTAGAAATATCCAAAAAGAAAAAACAGAATGTGAAACATGATGGACACATTTAATGGCAAAGGCAATTACCTCAAAAAGAAATGTAATAGACATTAGATCAAACACTATAAGCCAACAGAATGTTGTGATGTCCTCTGAAAACAAAACATGTAGTGACAATCCAGGGTGAGTACCTGTCTTCTTAGGTCCCCTCCACACCACTGCTTCGTCAGGATCCTCCATGAGAAAGCCAATGGACATGAGAGCGAGGCTTCTCTGCGCGTCTGTGTAAACTGGCACCCAGCCTGCGTCACACTGATGAACATCTGGACGCCCAACACTCAACATCCGAGGAATACTGGGGCCACACAGGTCCACATCCAGGATACCAACCTTTTAAACACAGCATTGGCCATGTTCTTAGTTGTATTATGTAAGCTTAAATGTATAACTCATTCTCACGTGAGAAGGTACCTTCTTGCCTGCTTGTCTAAGGGCCAGTGCCAGTTCAGTAGTGATAGTACTTTTCCCAACGCCTCCTTTTCCAGACAGAACAAGGACCACATGTCGAACCTGGGATAAGTTGCTATCTGCTTTGGTATGGAATAATAAATTCACAATTACAAGACAAAACACTAAGAAAAACTTTTTTTTCCTGGTAAGATTATTGCAGGACTATTAACATCACCAAAATTTACAAGATAACAGTGAGTGTCGGATCATGAACAATATCTGGGTAAAAGTAAACTTTTGTCATTTCAGGACTAGCTATACATTATAAAGAAGCGATAAATTACCTGTATTTTGTTCCATATTTCTTGTGGAAGTGCCTGGTGGCTGATGCACGCAGTTGCCTTAGAAGGCTGAACACTTCCGTATCTTGTGACGCACGGTCCAATATTTTAGCCAATCAGTGAATACGCTTTAAGTTCTGTCCCGCCCTTGTCGCTTCTGCACCAACAGCATTACGCTCCGCAATTCATTGTATTTTACGTAGTTACATTATCAGTATAAATATAAACCATTGTTTTGTTATATAGAAAAGAAAAAATCAGCAAAGTGCGTTAAATTATTTGGGTTTTCGCAAATATGACAGTACATAATGTGTTTTAGGTGATAAGGGCAATGTGACTTGCACCCTTCCATCTCAATTGGGTTACATTTACATAGACTCCTCCTTGCATCTGGGGCTTATCCAATACATGCTGTTGGAGGGCGTGGAAAAGTAATGTTTACGTCTGGCTCTTGGAGAAGTGGGACAGGGTTCATAGCGCACCTGTCACAGTCAGATCTGGACCACGTTGGCATCAAATGAGCCACTGCAAGACAGCGTCCAAGAAGACCACCGCAAGGTAAGATACTGCATTGTTTGGAGAATAGTTTCGTCTGGCAACTGTTGTTATTAAAAAGTGTATTTTACATCCAGAGTCTTCCCATACGGCCAAAGATGACATTATTAAACTCTCATAACTTCATACATAGGTTATAGTCGATTTCGCTCAAACATTTTAAATGGCAGATATTTCCAAGTTGGATACCGTCTTATTCAAAGAGCTTCTTGCATGTTGAAGCTTATGTAGGGTAAGGACCAATTAAAGTAAGACTAGCCCCAGACTAACTAATCTAAATGAATGGCAGTTAACTCCTGCACCTGCTGCTGTGACACTCAGCATCTGGTGTGTTCAGGAATTACTAGGAAAACTGTAGAAATAAAATCAGTATTGTACGAGAAAGAATTACTTAAATTATGTAAAGTGCATTAGTGAGCATAGTTCAAGTGTCAACTGTGCACCTTTCCCAAATAACATTATTTTCTATGGCTACACAAGTATGTTTTTGTAAATTATTAATAGGGTAATTATTAGCTTCTTTATTGTAAATAAATCCATCCATAAATATTACAGATTTAAATATAAAGCAACAATAAACTATAAATAGCAAACATCACACGTTCAAGACATGTGCCACAGGATCAATGCACTATCAGTAATTTAATGATAATATTAGTACCTTAATATGAATAATCCACAAATATATACATGTAAAAAGATAGTAATATGTAAATTAAATATTACTCCTAAATGTGTTGAGTAGTGAGGCATAGATATGACATAGATCTCCCTGGCCTCACATGACATGCAGTAAACCGAGTGTGTGTGACCTACTGTGCATGTGCCAGCTGGTCATAAGGTGTCCGCCTTCTGTCCACAGAGCCGCCATGCTGAGAAGGGCCCGGAACAGCAGAGTACGTCTGGCCTGGGCTGAGACCCAGAGAGAGGCAGATACCATGGCCTTGATCCACACCTGGGACAGAGCAGAGGAAGAGCCACAGGAAGGAACACAGGTAGTGCATCAAGTATTAAAACTGGGGCAAAAAGAAATGAAGAGGGAATCAACTATTAATAAAATAAAATAAAGCAAAATTAAATAAAAATGTAACAAAACTAAATAAAACTACAATAGAAATCATTTAATATGCAGTGTACCAAACGTCTCACTAGATTATAAAATGGTAAATGGTCACATTTTAATTTTGCATGTTTCCACCTTCAAGGTACTCAAAGCTCTTTACATCACGGAACCACTCATCCATTCACACACACATTCATACACCAATGTACACAGACACAACAACAGTATTCATCTGTAGGAGCTGGGAGCTGAAATCACATCGCCATCCTGTGGATCAGTGGATCTGACTGCTCTACCAATGATGTTCATGTTGATAGCGGGCTCCAATCACTCTACTACTCTACTCACTACCAACTGAACTACTTACTAGTAGTTTTCCATTGAGTCTGTACTAGTAGTCTTCCACTAAGGCTGTCCTAAGTCTAAAAGGGTTTTGACACAGTATTAGGGCATAGAGGGTCTCAAGGGGCTCAGTATTTTTGGAATGAGTCTAATTTTACGTGCAAGAGCATGTAACTTGTTCGGCCTATAGGAATTCAGAGCAGCTTTCAGGGAAAGGGTTGAATGTCCAACACAGTGTAGGGAGTCATATAGGCACCATGACTCATTTGCTGTGTCACTAGTGGAGGCAGATTTTCAAGACAGTTGAAAGTGACCACTTTGAATGAACAATGGACATGTCTCTGAAAACAGTAACTGCATATGCTGTTTGTGATCAGATTGGTGAGCTGCCCACACAGGTTGGTCACCTGGAGCCAGTCCCTGAGGTGCTGGCTCTGCCCAGTACAGTTCCAGTGACAGGGGAGTCCTTCTGCCAGTGTCAGCAGCACGATGAGACCACTCTGGGGGCCATTCTCAATGGGTTCAACCTCATCAGTGACTGCCGGTGTGGAGAGGAGGATCAAGGTGAATCTACTCTAGCTCATTTGCATGTGGAAAAATAATTAAATTACCATTACCCTTGATAAAATTACAAACAGGCTGCAAAAGAATTGCAGTTAAACTGCTTGTATGTATGCTTGTTTTTGACCTCAGCAAATGTGTGACCTAATTCATTAAATCCTTATTTGTAGATTTTGACTGGGTCTGGGATGACAAGTGCAATGCTACTGGAGCATTCTTGAGCTGTGAGAACAGGAAAGTGACTTTTCACTCAGACTACAGCTGTGGGACGGCTGCCATCAGGGGCAACAAAGAGCTCACAGTGGGACAGTATTTCTGGGAAGTGAAGATGACCTCACCTGTCTATGGAACAGATATGGTGGGTACAAGATGTTTGAGTCCATTTTAGAAGGAGATGTAAAATAAATGTTTCTTGTGTTGTTGTTGTTGCAGATGGTGGGAATTGGAACATTGGAAGTGAACTTGGAGAAGTTTAAATACAGTTTTGGAAGCTTCTTAGGTCATGATGAAGACAGCTGGGGTCTCTCCTACACAGGTAATTGTACAAGTCAATAGTAAAATGTACTTTCAACCCTAGGTTATTTACAAACTGAAATCCTGACAATATGTCATTAGGTCTGTTCCAGCACAAAGGAGACAAAGTCAGGTTCTCCTCTCGGTTTGGTCAAGGGTCCATAATTGGAGTTCATCTGGACACGTGGCATGGTACTTTGACTTTCTACAAGAATCGCCACTGCATAGGTAGGATGTCTTGGTGCTCTGCACAGCACCAAGAATACTTTATCATTCATCCTCTTGACTGTGTGGTAAATAGGTGCTAATAATACTTCTGCACCACCAGGTGTCGCTGCCACCAAGTTACCAAATAAGAAGTTCTACCCCATGGCGTGCTCCACTGCAGCCAAGAGCAGTATGAAGGTGATCCGCGCGTGCTACACACCCACCTCACTGCAGTACCTGTGCTGTGTTCAGCTCCGTCACATGTCCCCCCACTGTCCAGATGTGTTGAGCACTCTGGATGTGCCGCCTGGTCTGCGCAGCCTCCTCAGGGCACAGATGGGTTGGGTGTTCTCCCTAAACAACAGCACTCACAATAATGACACTTCAGAGCCCAGTCTGGAGTTGTCTCATGTCTATTATGAAGACATGAGTCTGCCTTCCAGCACGAGCATCAGTCCAATCCCCAGCCCAGTGCCCAGCCTGAGTGCATGTGCCTCCCTCAGCCCTTGCCCCAGTCTGTTTGACCCTGTTCTGTACCAGTGTCCCTGTCAAACTGTCCACACTCACTCATGCACCTGCCTCTGCCCCCCCACCCCACCCAGCAGTGATTACGACAGCTGCTGCTCTGAGCCAGAGGATTACCGGAGCAAAAGGTGCCGTTGGACATGACCACAATATTTACTGTATTTGTTTAAAATCTCTAACCTTGCCACAGACATCTACTCTATGAAATCAGAAAAACATGTGCATGTGTTTTTATAACACATTAAGAGGCTACTGATAACAACTAATTTTGAAATGATTAATGATTCATTCTTTAAAATTAATGTAGGCAACATATTTCATACCAAAATGTGTTAAAATAACTTAAAACTTGCACTTTAATTATTAGGAACCATGTTCCTATAGTTTTTTGTCTTTTAAATGTTTTAAATGCCATTAAAAACAAATGGAGGTACAACAAATCTGCATGCTACTCAGGAATAGGATTCTGGGGAAATAACTTTTCATACTCTGTTTTGTAAACAGAAATTTTGTTTTAACAGTAATGTTTTGATTACCTTTTTTACTTTATGTTCTTAAATAAAAAAAAATACAATTTATCACTTGATTGTATTCAGAAAAGCACATGATTTATTTCTTTCACCAATATTTTCACACATTAAGATGTTCCCATGATTATAAATAATCTATTACTAGGACATTATATCTCTGGCTTATTTTAGGTTGTAAACATCACAATATGTAAGCAGTGACATGGGGCAAGCTTTCATTAGAAACCATATTAGTAATTCTATTCTCAGACTAGTCCAGGACCAGCTGGGGATTTTGGCTTGTGAAGCAGCGGTAAACTCTGGAGGAGATCTCTGGTCCAATGCGTCTCTCTTTACCTCCAGTCTTTATCAGGAGTCCAGCAAGCAAACTTTTTCTCTCCTCCTCTGATTCTAACTTCTGGTAAGCCTAAAACACAGGAATCATGTACTTCAGTTAATACCACCCAGTGTACAGATTATAAGTATATTCAGGTATTTACACATACCTGTAAGAGGAGCCTAGGTGACTGATAGGCTGCAGTGATAGTTGCAGCTACAACAGGACTAACCCTGTTCAGCTGCTGTAACTGCAAAGTCCACACCTGCTCCAGCCCTGAGCCATCTCTCTCGACCCGAGTACCACTGGCCCAAGACCCGTCCACACAGAAGGGCAGCTCAGATCGTTCTGTCAGCAGTCTACAATAGCACACAAATACACTGCCTGATCTGGGTAAAGAAAATGATTACATAGTTCATAGTGGCTTGTACATACTTATAAGGGCGTTTTGACAATGCTTTGGTCACAGCAACAACTTGCTTAGTCACACCTTGCCAGCCATCCAAAAAAGCTAAGGATACATTTTTGTACAGCTGCAGGTAGACAAGGACCTATGGGAAAATACAGTTGAAGAGTCTGAAAAAACCCTCAGTTGTCCAGGTAGAATCCATGGCAAAGGAGAAATTCAATTTGTAGACTGGACAGTTGACAAATTGAATTTCTCCTTTGCCATGATCATGAAGATATAAAAATAAATGTAACTCAAAAAACAGAACCAACCTCTTCAATTTCTAGTTGGTCCATTCCTAAATCAGAGGCCAGGGTTTCTTCAAATGAGTCTTCACTTACAGAACTTCTACTTTCAGGGAGAAAAGGTAAGTAAACCATTCACATTGTAACTTGTCTAATTGTAAAAATGACAGCATATTCTTACATGTATTCAAGTGGAGAGTCTGTTACCAGGATTGTGACAACCTTTTTCACATCTTGATTCAAAAACTCCAGCAATGGGCTTAAATATGAATTCCTGGCTGTACCATCACCTACCTCATCTAACATCTGCAAAGTGAACAAAAAATGTCTATGAACAGTATTATTATTATTATTATTATTATTTTACAATTCTAAATCTACTTTCTTTTACAGCTGGAACCAGATGTAAAAAGTCACTCCACCCAATTACCAGCAGAACTTGCTCTTCCTCCACTATTTTATCACCATCCTGAAAAAGACTATTTGCTATTAACAAAATAAACAAGCAATAACAGTATTTATTAAGGGAAATTTAAATTCATACATCTGGGAGTTGTCTGGTCCATGTAATGGAGTACCTGAGTTGCTGAATTTCAATAAGAAATTTCCATTCAAAAGAAGACAATGTCCCAAGTAAAATATCTGATCCCTCTTGTTGTAGAAGAGCTATAATAGACATAATAAAATATTGTAAAATGATTAAGATTTTGGACATTAAAACATGAACTGGAATGAAGTATGAGTATGCGGTGTGTAGCCAAATCACTAGAGCCAGAACTCAGAACTTACAATGTTAAGGTAGGTTGCTGCTCTGCTTGAGCCTTATGACCTAAACATTAGGACATCTGGCAGCACATCATTGTCTATGGCAACTACCTACCGTATTACAGGTCAAAGGTGATTACATAGAATACAGTGGCCTGCAAATGACAGGGACACATGTACACATCATGATTTTGTCTTATAATTCCATCCCTAAGTACCTTGGTCAATGCACACAGTGAGACATTTAAGGCAGTTCTCTGGTCTGAGGGTCTTGAGGTGTTGTGCAGCCTCTCTCCTCCGCTGCTGCTCCTGTTTTTTCTCCTCCTTCTCTTGGACCTTGGCAGCCTTTGCCCTCTCCCTGGCCTTCTTTCTCTCCTGGCCCTTTTGTCTGTCCAGCTCTATCTCCTCTTTGCTCCTTCGTTTCCTGGTGGGACTGGGGGTCCCAGGACCTGCTGAAGGTTTGGGAGGAGGAGGCAAAGCACACGTTTTTCTGGATTCGTTTTTTGCTGCAGGTGATGGAGGAGTCTTGTCAGGATTTGCATCCTCTTCTGTTAAATCTGTGCTCACTGTTACAGATGGGATTGTTGCTTCTTTCTCCTGCCATTTTAAAAGTGTGGTTGGTTTGTTTTCTACATCAGTTTCATCCTCGGATTCAGATATTTCCCATGTTTTAGCTCGACGTAATGCAGAGACTTTTTCCATCTTGAAACAGTAACAGTCGGACTACTTACAGTAGACATTCCTACAACAATCCAACAATACTACAAGGGTGCATTTGCAGTGTCCTTTCAAATGTGGATTGTTTTATCCTGTTTTTGTTTTTCTACTGACGGTGCCCGCAAAGGGACAAAATACCCACCACAGTGTGCAATAAATGCTATTAAACGAGCTGACACCGGATAGGGATAAAAACGTATAGTTGAAGTAAGAAACGATAGTTTAATAGGTTTGTTTTTATTATGAAGATGATTCTTAAATGTTTCGTAAAGTTTCACATGTGTTCCTGTTTCCAGCGGAAATAGTTAGTGTAACACTTGTGACGTACGATGTATAAATAATCTGTTCCCCTGGCTCTTGTTACAGATTCGTATCCCCGTTGTTTGGAGATCTGCAGTGAGGTAGTAGCAGACGAGACAGGAGTCCACTCACTGTGCTAGCCAGCGCTCTGTCCATGTAAACAACACTAAACGATGTGATTTGTGTTTTTCTCTCTTGTAGCTTTCACCCTTTTTGCACAATGGCTCAACCCGCTGAGAAAGGTAAGTCTGGATAGTGTTATTTCCACGCATAGCAGCACTTTGTTTTACCCCCCCTTTGTGAAGTCCACTCATCTGGGTTAGAAAAATACCAACTCAGCAAGTGATGTTAGGGTCATCTACAGACTCATGTGACAGGAAGCCTACATACCCATTGTATTTTGTATTTTACATTTGATTTCAAATACTATTTAGCTACAGTGTATGTGTCTGTGACTCTGTATCACTGTGCAATGAGCTGTTCATTTTTATTTGTAGAGGAACACTGTGCACAATGTTACATTGGCCAAAAAAGGAAAGATGCCTTTCTGCCTGTAGTCCCAGGGCAAGTTGCAATCTCTAAAACTGTATTTAAATGTAGATATTATGTGTCTTACTGTGAAGCATTGAAATTAGTTTTGGGTGTATTATAGTGTTTCAAATGTATGTATTTGCTATGTATGCCTTTTCATTCAGTAATACATGTACTTTTATGTTCACAGCCTATTATCGCTTTGTGGTGCTGTTCTTCAACTGCCTGCTGACATTTGGCTCTTACTTCTGCTTTGACATGCCAAGTGTTTTGCAAGATCAGTTTCAAGGGGTATGTATAGGAAGGTAGAGAGGGCAAGGAAATTAGAATAAAAGAAAAGTAAAGTTACACCAGGGCATAAACACCAGTGTGCATCTTATTCACCACCTCTTCTAGAATCTGACGTGCCCCAATACCACAGTTGTCAACACAACAGTGGAGTGTGTGGAGGGATTGGGCATGACCCCTCAACAGTACAATCTTCTTTATGCTATCTATGCTTGGACGTAAGTACATTCAGTTGGATCCTCTCTCACCTCACCTACTTTATCCAGTATGATTAAATCACTGTGTTTTGTCAGTACTAAGCTAACTCTCTCAACTCTTATGTCCATAGGAATGCTATAGTAGTGATAATGGCAGGATTTCTGATTGACAAACTGGGAAATCGCTGTACGTTTGGAGATAATATATCAGCATGAAAAAGACTTGTTGATTTTTTTTTTGTATTGATTTGTTTTCTTGTTGTTGCAGTTGGAGTGTTCCTCTTCTCGTTCTTGTGTGTTTTGGGGTCTTCCCTGTTTGCACTGGGTTCACACTTCAAAGGGACCCCTTATCTCCTGCCCCTTATGCTCACTGGCCGGTTATTGTTTGGGTCAGGCAATGGATCTCTCACTAGTATGGACACTAATATGCATGAACAGTTACCATACCAGCATTGTAAGTGTGTTATAAGTTAGTATTGTTTTTCTTAGTTGTTCAGAATCGGATCACAGCGTTTTGGTTCAAGGGCAAGGAGCTGGCCTTGGCTTTCGGTTTAACGCTGGCTTTCTCTCGTTTGGGCTCAGTGCTTAATTTCTTTTTAACGCAGAGGTTTGAAGAAAGATTTGGCATGCAATGGACTCTATGGGGAGGTAGGTAGTGACAAAATTATTTATTTAAATTAGAAACCATAATGCAGGTTAACATCTACATATTTTTAGGTGCACTACTGTGTGTCCTTGGCTTTTCTTCTGCCATCATCGTCAGTGCCCTGGACAAGGTTGGGATGAAGCAGCTTGGTCTTGATGGCGCCATTCAAGAGGAGTCTCGCAAAGTGGTATGAAAATTATATATTAAGATACAATTTCTAATGCAAAACCACATAATTACAATACAGAATTTTATTGTTTAAACATGACCTTGCCTGGTTTTGTCTTAATTCTTTTCAGAGGATTCAAGATGTGAAGCTCCTCTCGCTTAGATACTGGCTGCTGGTTGTCACCATTATGTTTTTCTACAATGGTATCTTCCCATTTATTGCTGATGCCAGGTAATAACAAATATATCTAAATACATTTGCTGATTTTTATTTAATTTATTTGGAAGTTTGCAACTAAAGCTCAAATTTTCTGTCAATGGTAGTAAGTTCATCCAAGACAAATACAGTGACTACAGTCAAAAAGAAGCGTCATATATCGCAGGGGCAGTGTATGACTCCTCTCTGGTCCTATCAGCCAGTGTGGGAATTCTGATAGTAAGTACACATTTTTTGAGTGAAATCATCCTCAATATACTTTAAGTCAATGAATATTGTTATTTGTATTTTCTAGGATTATGTGGGTCTGCGCGGAGTTTTCGCTGTGGCTTGTGCAGTCTTCACACTACCAGTATTTGGTCTACTGGCCTTCACCTTTGTCCCTCCCCTTGTATCAACCATTTGGCTTGGAGTCACCTATTCTTTTGCTGCAGTGAGTTTTGTAACACTATTGTTAAAAACAACTATATATAAAACTAAATCTTAACTCTACTTTATCCTAGGCAAGCATGTGGCCATCTATTCCCCTGGTGGTTCCCCAGGCAACCTTAGGGACAGCCATGGGCCTCGCTACCTCCATACAGATGATTGGAATTGGTGTGTCCAATTTGGTCGTTGGGCAGATTTTAGGAACCAAATCAAGGTTGGAATAAATTTGAGTAAATGTAAAAGTTGTATTGCTTGGATAAGTTTAACCCTGTTTAACTGTTTTTTTTTTCTTTATAGTGATAAGATTCCTCTGTGGCGTTGGCAGAGAATGATGATCTTTATGTTGGCCAATACAGTCAGCTGTATCATTACCTCAGTAATGCTAAATATTGTGGATCACAAACAGGTTGGTAATCTATTTTCATTATGTTATATAATACTTCATAGTATATAGTGAATACAGTGTACATGCACTTATATCAAGTCTAATTTCTGATATTTCCTGTGTGGTATGTGTGCTTTTAGGGTGGTACGCTAAACAAGATGACCAAAAGATCAGCGCAGACAGAGAGAGAGACTGACCGAGAACCACTCAACCCGGCACAAGAGCAGAGTGAGGAAGATGAGGATGAGCAGCATTCAATCAATTCATAAAGTTTTTGTCAATTTATAAAATAAGAAAGTTGTTACTGTGGGGCATCACTTTAAGAGACACTAATTACCCCAAAATATTTACCTCTTGTATCTTTTATATAGCAGATGACATCCCTTTTAATGTAATATTCTGCTATAATGAAACGCTAATCAAGTACCTTTCTTATTTTATTTTTATTTGTTGTTATGATTTGTTTGCTTAATAAAGGGACTGATTTTATATACATTTTAATCATTATTTTATATTATGATTTATTCGTTTTTAAAATGACTGCATTTGGTGCCAGAAAAAAATGTAAATAAAGATACAATTTCTCTTTTTCTTTATCTATTTTTAAAAATTCTTATTTATCTATTTTTAATCTAAAAATATTATTAACGGCTTGACGTCTGTATGCATTACCGCATTGGTGCTTGTAATATCTTTTAACGCCAGCAGGTAGCGCTCTTAGCACAAATGAAAAGTAAAAAACAGCTGCCCACAAGAGTTGAGGCGCTCATGTCATCTTTAAATATACAGATCTCTCTTCCAGATAGTTTAAAGCTTATGAGCACATTTTAAATACCACTGTGAAGCTTGGGTGAGTGTTACTGGGGGTGATGTTGGGAAAAGCCTCCATCAGATTTTACCAGACAACCAACTTTCTACCCCGCAGCTACAGCGGCTAGTTCAAACACGATTTTATGTTAAAACTTCTTAATTTGATTAAGCATTTAAAATGTATTTTAAAGTGTGTTTGGCTGAAAATATGCAAAGTTTTCATTTTACAGGCCATTTATGTGTTTATTTATTTATTTATTTATTTATTACTGCCTTTGTTTAGTATTTTATTTATCGTAATTAAAGATTTTAGATTTAAAAAAAATATTTTTTTTTTAACCTTAAGCCGAACTATGCCATAATTATTGTTTTACAGTATCTTCTGAGGCTCAGACTTGTCTTTCACTATTGGGTTCCTTTGGTTCAAAGTTCCCAGTTCCAAGTACCAAACCCTTTTGACTGTTTGCCAGCTTCATTGTGGAGGACCACATAGTCTATCATCTGGCATTAAAGAACCAGAGCCAGACTAAGCGTAATACTAAAAATACAAACGATTTTGATGAAATCCTCCATGAAATGTAATTCATGATTGAGGATTTTATGTTTGCCGTTTAATCCAAATAAGCACAAACCGAAATGGCAGAGATGAAACTTTGCATAATGCTTTTTAACCTTGTACACGACTTGATGACACAGGTGTACAGCAGCAGTTTATGTAATCTTTTTTTTGTCCCATAGTGACTGAGGATTACCAGACTGACACCCACTGTCTACTGGTGATGGCCAGTGGAATGAAAGGTTACCTGATGAAGACTTTCTCAAGCCCAGATCCTGTGTTCACTGTTAAGATAAACCCTAAAAATATACCTCCCACTCTTAATCTTCTTAGAGGCATGCAGCAGGGGTAAGTCTTGGCTTGCCTCATAGACAACGCTCAGTGATTACAGAGCAACTTAACGCTTGACTTTTCCTCAAGAGACTACTACTGCACTTTGACTTGTGTTGCTTTATGCTTTCTCAGCTGGAGTCCGTGTTCACCTCGGACTGCTTGGCGGACTCTCTGGACAAAATGAGCATGTCCAATCTCCTGAACCTGAACAGCCTGGGCCGAATCTGCGGATCGAGCCACAGCAGTGACATGGTGGTACTGGATCGGGTCAAGAGGAAGAACTCAGTGCGGCGGATGTCCATCATTGAAGATGGCCAGATTGCAGAAGTGCTCTACCTCATCCCCAAACAGTCCCTGATGGGCCAAATGCCATTCATAGACCCCAGCGACTACATTCTGTGTGAGAAACTGGCCAGTATTCCCGCG